GTTTTGGTCAGCCTTCTTTCAGTTTGAAACTGGGATACTCGACCATGTAAACTACATCGTGTACAAACAGTACTAGTTCACCCGAAGGCCTTTGATATGCGACTGATAAGGAGAAATTATCCAGAAGGAAATCCATGTAACTGTTTAGTACGTGTGGTCCGTCGTATTTTGCATCATTTATATCTATCGACCATACGTAGCGTTGATACGTGACGAATATTCGATGACGTAATACCAACACCGTATCCACATATTGTAAAGTACAGAGATCTACGTACGTGGGTTTATTTGTTGTAATTTCAGTAGTTGGTGGTTGTGTGGTTGTTGTTGGTCTTGGATTTTTAATTCCATAAAGTTGTTGAATGGCTAAAATGTCCTCTATGTTGAGTTTAGCAATTCTATTATTATTCCTAGCAGTGACAACTGCGAACATTATGGATTCTTCGCGCGAACTGTGTGTTAATCCTAATGCTTGTCCAATTTCATGTATTAACGTGTTAAGCAGATAGTTCTTGTTAGCAGATTTGTCGGTTAGATATACAGGGTGAGTCATTTTAATCTATGGACCCGAATATCTTTCAAATTACGGTATCTACAAAAAATGGTTTAGATAAAAGTTGACCAGGGCAGAGGGAGTCATTTAATTGTACCATTGGTTTTGACCTTAAGATCAATTTTGAAGGTTATTTCAAGGTCACGATGGTTTTTTTAAATGGGACACCCTATTTTTGACTGCGGATTTCGAAAGAGCGGAAAATTTCACATCAAACTTGTCTTATGAAAAAATTGTTTTTGCGACCTTGGAAAGGTAAAAAATGAAGGTCAAATGCCTGACAAACGATCTGGTGTACTTTTTCTGAAATGACGTGGTTTTCTGGGTAACACAAATGTGCATAATGCTTGAAAAAAGTCAATGAATTTTAAAAGTGTAAATCACTTTGACTAGCTTGTCCTTGAGGTCAATTTTACAAAGTTGTTTGAGGCTCATAACGCATTTTTTAATTAATAAACCCTATTTTTGACCGCAGAACCTGTTTTTTGACAATGGGCTCTTAAACAATGGCACTTTTTACATGAGCATAGGGATTTTTTAGCTCTTGATTTGCGAGGTTTGCGCTGTGAGCAGAGGAAGTAGTTAGGCTTGTCATC